TGCTTAAAGAGGTTGCACTAGTAGCACCGTACGATGCGGCCTACGGGCAAACTACGGCTAGGTGGGATGAGATTGGCGACAACATGAGGAGCATTCATGGTGACACCATCACAGCGTCCAGCTGTCGGAAGCGGTTTGACGACTTGCTCTCTGCGTTCAAAAAGGCCACGCTCAAGGCCCTGCGTGCGTCTGGGACGGAGGAGGAATACAACGAGCGTGACCAGCTCCTGCAGGACATTGTTGACATGGTAAAGGAACTCTATATGTATGGAGGACTTGTAATCATCATGAAAACATTAGATTGACGCTGCTGCGGCAAAGAAGAAGGCGTCCAAGCAAGTAGTGGACAAGCGGGAAAGCGATGGCCACATGATTCGAGAGGCGGCGCTGATCGGTTTGAAGCGAAAGGCAACCGAAGAAAGCGATGATGACGTGTCGCCTCGCAAGGTGGCGGACAACAAGGACATCAAGGACATCAAGGACATCAAGGACAGCCGACGTGGTTCTGCCTTGAAGGAAGCTGCTTCCGTTGTTGCCACATTCACCGAAATGATGAGCGAATCAAACAAGATCAAGGCCGAAGAAGTTGGCGTGAAAAAGGACGAAATCATGCTTGCCCAGAAAAAGCTTGAACTTGAACGAGCTCGGTATGAACTGGACAAAGCCGAGCGCGAAGCTCGTTTTGCAGTGGAAAAAATGGAGCGCGAAGCCCAGATCGAGTTCATGCGCAGCACGATTGAATTGATGCGTACTTTAACAAAATAGATGTCAAGTTTTGATCATTCATGTTTCTTGTTTCTGTGTTGTGTTTCATGTCATCGAACTGGCAAATGCGAAAAGAGTGTAAGTAGTGGCAGTCGAAAGAAATTGAAACCGAATAACGCGATGTATTTGACGCCTTACGCTAAGTGGATTTAACATGGAGATATTCCTCGGCAGTTGGAGGCATAACTCCAAAGTAGCTGGAAATTTGGTTGCCTCGCTTCATACAAGTATGGATGTTCGTCAGAATTACAGCTACGGCATATTGCACACCGACAGCTTGTAGCCACAACTTTTGTCCATTCTTGTAATCTACGAATGTCCACAAATTGCGGACAACGCCAAAACCCCACTCTACACTTACACGCACAGAGCTCATTTGCCGATTGAACTCAGCTTGGTACTCGTCTAGACGCGCACCTTTAAATCCACAAACGATTACATCATTGATCCCATATGCAGGATCTCCGTAAATCACGTAGCGTACATCGCCTACCTTCAGTTTTGGAGCTAGGTTAGCTACAAGATTACTTCTTGCAAGCAAATAAGCATCATGGCGTGAGCCTGGTTCGGGTCCATGGAGATGCACAATAATCCCGTCTGGGGACGTGACGGCTTGATACTTTAGAGCATGCTTTCTCTAATCATATCGGTTACACACAGAATAAAACAAATTCCTATTCACCTTATGCCCATTGTACGCTGTCTTTTGCACACGTTTTCCTGGGCGACAAACTCCGCGCACTGTACCGTCAATAAATCCAATGCACGTCTCGAGCGGGGCTCCTTGAGCGTGTATCGCTGCAGCACACATTTGCATCCACGATGCGTCGAGTCGATCGTCGTCCCAGACCAGGAGATGTCCAAACGTTTCGTAGATATGCTGCATGACGTGGCAGGCTATC